ATCTTTAATATTAATTTTTTCCCTTGAATTTCTTAAACAGATTAAAGATCTCATCTAATAAAATGTGCTCCTTGTATTAATATATGTTAATATAATTTAGGGTCCAATAAAATTTTACCTAAAGTCTGACTTTCTAATTAAATTAACTACAAAATCTCATACAAATCAACAACACCCCCAGCTCATGCCCAAATTTCAGCGACATTCTCCCACCATTAGGCTCAATTTTTCTGCCTCGTCTGGTCTCTCAAGTTCAAATTGGAAAACAACACGAGACAATGTCATTGTTTGCTGAAGGAAAAAAGAAGCACTAAGAACGGAGCAAAATGAATACAAATATATTATTAATAAAAAAAATATAGAGGACTATATATATTATACATTTATTTCGAATATTATTATGGACAAAGTATCTAGAAAATTAATCATCTGGGATCTAATTTCTGATATGGCTGAGAATTTGCAGATACAAAAAATTAATTAAATTAGTTATTTGTAAAAAAAAAATGTGTGTTGATTTTTCTAAGGTACCCATTTTAATTATTTACATTGAAAACTACTCTCTAGATGAAATTCCCCTTAATAAGTGAAATCACTAGAAAGACAAGAATTATGGGAAGACAAAAATAAATTAAGATTTTATACTTAGGATTAATGCAAATCCTGTTCTTACATCTTATAGGGGGAGAAGTAATCATATTACCAGATATTTGAAACTGGAATTGCCTGGCTTGAGTAAACTAGCATGCGCGGCTATTAATGGTGGATTATGTTAAAGTCATATGGAATCCTTTGCTTTCAAAACTGTAGGAAACTACAAAGATATCAAAGAGAAATACTTGGCGAGAATGATGGTGAAGGGGAACTTTATTTCCTGCATGAAAATTTTGAACCCTTCATTTTGCTTCTTAAATGGAAAAGCTCATCATTTTACTGTTTCTGTTCTAAATGCTGCGGTGAAAGACTCCGTTAATTTTTTTTTTTGTTTGGGTATAAAGACTCCATAAATTTTAATAGACTTGTTAAGATCGATGTCAAAGAAAGTCTACGGTTTGACTAGGTAAAACTTCAGCGTCCTGTCTTCTTTTTGGAAGACAAATGAAATGGATTTAGACAAGAAAACCCTGTTATCAAGTGAGAAATCAAAGGCATAGTTCATGGATTTTGGCACCCAAAAAAAAAAAGGTATACTTAATGGATCTTTAACTTTTACGCCTTAATCCTGAATAAAAGTTCATCTTTTTTTACGTTTTATTTGATTCTCTATGGGCCAAAGGACATTCAGTAACCTGATTTTATTTTCCAAATACATTCAGTATCTTAATCTTTTGTATGGTGTATCTAGCACTCTGATCTTCTTTTTTTTTAGTGCACCCAGCATCCTAATCTCATTTTTGGTCCATCTAACACCCTAAAGATTGAGATGCTAGATATAACTAAAAAAATAATATCATGATGTTAAATGCACAAGAAAAAAAACCGGGGTGTTGAATGTACCTGAAAAATAGATGATTGAATGCACGTTTAGCTTATAATAGGTTGCTGATGAAATTGATTAAGCCTAGTCGAAACTTCAAAGATTATTAGAAGTTGATCCACACAGTAATATTAGAACATCAGTAAAGTACAATACCACTTCGTTATTACTCTTTCAACCATATGTAATACGGGGAATGACCTTCAAACTCCTGGAGTCATGATTCTGCAAGAAATAGGGTAATTTCTTTTTTCTAAATACATATGATTAAGTGTCCCATGATCGGACTATTTTTTTTTTTTTTGTCTTTTCCACCGAAGTTAATTTGGTAGAAACCCATGAACATGCATGTCTGAAATTACCATAGTAACATAGAAATAGAAGAGATGTTATATCTAGCCTAAGAAAAGATCGATGTTAGATTATGCCAAAAGCAAAAGAGAAAAACAAATTCATGTTTCCTTCACTCCTTGATATAAGAGCTATTTAATTAATTCGCACAGATTAAAAAGTTATAAATTAATTAATTATAATAAATATGACTTAATCTTTCTAAACTATCCCTATGAGACACTAGATTAAATATGGTTTATAAGCTAGGAAAAATAATTTGGAAAAGAATAATAAATGTAAGAAACAAATTGAATTGAAATCTTATATTTAAAATCAAATATAACTTCTAAAGAACACAAGGAAAAATAATTCCAGACTGAAAACAAAAGTTTGGTATGATAGCTATTTATGATTGGAATGCTGATTGACCAGTTCGCGGATGAAGTAAACAGCTTGGTACGTCTGACCGGACATGCATATTTTAATTCAGGAAAACCCACTCAAAAGGAATTTAATAAATCCGATTTAATTAATTAGCATTAAGTTAAGAAATGTACCAAAAAACGAAAATAAATTATTCTGTAGCTGTGGAGGCTCATTTGAGCTGCCGACACATTCAGTGAACGTACAAAGAATGTTGGAGACAAAAAATTTCATTTAATTTAGAACTAATTACTCTGACCCACCCATAATGAATTCAAAGTGGTTTTATTATTATTGGCCTTTATAATTATAAAACGAAATATATCACTTTGGTATGGGGGAAGGGAGGAGGTAGGAGGGATTTTACTTCCCTCCCCTTATTTGGATTGCTAAAATCTTTTGGAATCCCCCTTCCCAAATTAGGGAGAATTAACTTTTAATATCCCCATGTTATCTTTTTATCTTACATCAGGTGAAAAAGGGATGGTAATTGTTGCGCTTTTATTAGATCATATATCAAATCATTAAAAATCCTTCCTCTCCTTTTTCCACTCATCAATCCATCCAGACAAAATAATATTAAAACTCCTCTCCTCCTTTTTCTTTTTTTCCCTTCCATTAAAATCCATTTCTTCCCTTCGCTTTTTTTGAGCCAAATACACCCTTAAGACAGTGGTGCTCATAATTTAATAAAAGACTTACATCGTTTTACTCATTAAGAATCAAAACTTATGATTTGAAATTTAAAAAACGAAGACCGAAATTTGTATAAACTTGAAAGAACACAGATATTAACCCTTAAAATATTGAATATATAAAATAAATTTTATCCTAAAACAAAAAATAAATTTTGAGGGGATGGCCGAATACTCTCCAAGTAGTAAATGGTGGGCATGGGACAGAGATTATTTCAGGTTTAATCAACACACTATGGCCCTTCATAAAACATTAATTTAACGCCCTCTATCTCCAGGGCCATTTCAGGTTCTATCAAACCTATTAGATTCCAATAATTCGAATTAAGTAGGTCCACATAAGGATGATAAAATATCTGCCCTCAAAGATTTTTTTTTTGGGATTAATACAATAATTCAAGGGAGAATTATTATGAATTCCTAAGAAAAGAACAAAATTACCGAAATATCTTAATAACAAGCGAATAGTTACCATTTTCTATATTGAAACTGGTCATTATATGCTAGCTGCTTTGTATCATAGAGACTTGTTAACAATTACTAACTCAGTTTTTAATATTAGATCTTCTTTGATTTTTATTTTGATTCTAAATATAAAATCTCAATCATTTTGTTTCTTATATTTATTTATTTTTTCTTAAGATAGTTCTTCTAATAATGGTAGTTCTAACTAATAAACTTGATTGGTAAGGATATTTTAGAAAAGATAGCGCATATTTATTGCAAATAACTAAATTAACTTGTTTTCTTAATCTATTCAAATTAGTCAATAGTTTTTATATTTAGGACTGGAGGTAGTGTATTTATTTCTCGAGACTTCATGACAGTTTCCTTATTTATAATTCGGTGTGTTTACTTGGACAGTCACCGATGAAGAAGTCGTCTGAATGAGACAGCTTTTAATTCAAGGAATGAGCATGCAAAGTTGGAAAAACTTCCTCCGACCTCATCGCAATGTTTGAATTATGACACTAACAAACCGATATGGTTTCTTTCACTCCTTCTTCTGTTGACTCGGACGGACAATGATGCCTCTAAAGACTTGACTCGTAATGATTCACGAAACGTTTCAGTGGCTCGCAATAACTTGTAATTGACTCGGACAGCGATATCTCTGGAGGTTGTCCATGCAAGCAGATATTTTATATTATTATATATATATATATATATTCGCACAAGCAAGTAGATGTTTCTAAAACCTCCTGCTACCTATTTATTAAATTTAAATACATTAAAAAAATTAATTAATTAATTGATTATGACAAATATAACTTGATTTCCCTCAAATACTCCTGTGTAACATTGTATTATATATCAATTTGTAAATAAATTAGATAAATTAATTTGAAGAAATTTGATCAATATGATAAATAAAATAGATTAAGGTCTTGCATTTAAAGCCAAAACTAACTCATCAACTATTTCCTACATTTATGACCAAAGGATTAAATATGAGAGACAAAATTATTTAAAATCTTATATTTATGACTAAATATAATTTTTCAACTAACTCATATATATATATATATATTAAGAATTAGATGCCATATATTTTTTCTTAAAGAAGCAAATAGCATAGTCTTGGGTGTCCACATTGATGATTGGATTTGAAATCTCAAATGGTTATCAATACTTGGCCTCCCATGCGGAAACTCCAATGTCGATGAATAATTTGTCTTTTAAAAAAAATTAATTAACATTATTTATAACTTATGCCATCAAGAGTTAGTCTAGTTAGTAAAGAGCTGCCTCATAACTCACAAAATCGTGAGTTTAAATCCAACTGCCTATATGAGGACTTTGTTAGTAGGCAATTTGTGAATATCTCTATAAACACTCTTTCAACTTGTAAGTATGTCCTAACTCTGGTCAACACATGAAACCAACTCTCCTAAACTTTCTCTTACTAAAAAAATAAATAGTGATTGACCTTTATGTATTGATGAGTTTTACTCTCCATTTTTTCAATTATATAGATCTAAAAATCATGTAATGCAGGAGAAAAATAAGAAAACTACTCCTCACCTTTTATACAAGGAGTATCATCGGCTACAATTTGTATACCACTAGTAATGGAAGTTCTGAGAACGAAGATAGCTATGAGGCTGATTTTCATATATCTAATCTTATTCTTCAATTACTGCTTCTTGTTTTGTGCAGCTTTTTCTTCTGACGCCATAACCATTGGCAAACCCTTTAGCGATAATGGAGAGCTTGTCATTTCTAAAGGAAGAAAATTTGCTCTTGGCTTCTTCTCTCCAGGCAAATCTGCCTTTCGCTTTGTTGGAATCTGGTACTATAACTTGCCAAAGCAAACTGTTGTTTGGGTTGCCAATAGAGATAATCCCATAAATGACTCTTCTGGAGTTCTCTTCCTCAACCCAAATAATGGAAATCTCGTCCTCCGCCAGAACTCTACCAACTTGCCCATTTGGTCCTCGAATGTTTCTGTCCCTGTTCCAAGTAATACAGTTATGGCTCAGCTCACTGATTTAGGTAATCTCGTTCTGATTCAAAATAATTACTCCAAAAATGTGTTGTGGCAAAGCTTTGATCATCTCACTGACACCCTTCTTCCATATGCCAAACTGGGTTTCAACAAAAGAACTGGTCAGAACTGGTTGTTGCAGTCATGGAAGACAGAAGATGATCCAGGAACAGGAAATATCTCATTCAGGTCCAACACATCTGGGAAAGATCAAGTTTTTCTGTACAATAAAAAAGTTCCATTGTGGCGAGGTGGGTTCTTCAATGGCGAAATATTTGTGGGTTTGCCATCTATGAAAAGAGAACTGTCATATGCTTTAAACCTTACTATCACAGACGATGATAATTCTGCCGGACTCACATATCACGCCGTTGATCCTACCGCCATCTTTCGGGTCGGAGTTGTTTCAACGGGCTACATGCAAACACATAAATGGGATCATGACACAAATGATTGGAAGCTATATGGGACACACCCAGCAAGCAATTGTGAAACCTACGGAACTTGTGGAGCCAACAGCAAGTGTGATTCTTTCAACTATGCTTACAACAAGTGTTTTTGCCTACCTGGGTTTGAACCTAGTAACCCTAATGAGTGGTACACGAACGATGAATCAGCTGGTTGTGTGAGGAAGAAAGGACCATCTTTGTGTGGGAATAATGGAGAAGGCTTCATTAAAGTAGACGGTGTGAAGATTCCAGATACTTCGATAGCCAATTTTCAGCAGGGTTTGAGAATGGAGGATTGTGAGCAAGAGTGCTTGAGAAATTGTACTTGTAATGGCTATGCAGCTTCAGATGTGAGAAATGGCGGAAGTGGGTGCTTGACTTGGCATGGAGATTTGCTGGACACAACGGTATTAAGTGAAGAAGGCCATGATTTATATGTTCGTGTTGATGCTGTTGAACTTGGTATGTATGTGTTTGTGTTTATATATATAGTGTGTGTGTGACTTTTCCTTCTTCATTTCTTTTACTGGTTTTAATTTCTTTTTCCTTTGTCTTAAAGATCACTTTGTTTCCATTTAATTTTCTCAGCAAATTATGCCAAGAAATCAAAAGGAACGCTGCCAAAGTCTGGGATGGTGGGAATTCCAGTAACTACTTTCGCTGTGATTGTTCTTCTAATTGCCTTGTGTGCTTATTGCTCTCGGACAAGGAAAATAACAGGTGACTACTTCTTTCATTTATGTGAGAATTATAACAAGGACTCAAGAAAGAAAAATAATTACAAAATAAGTCTCAAATATTATATTTTTTATTTTCAAATTTGTCGTTACAGATTACTTGGATTGTTATTGGAACTTTTTAATAATTATTTTTCTTCTTTAGAATTTGATTGTAATTCGCCCTTTATTTATTTATTTTCTCAGAAACAAGTTATGTTTCAATAAAAATAATCATCTTAAAGTGAATTTAGGGAAATGATGAAAGGAAAAGGAGCTACAGAACGAATAATATATAGGAGAATTATAATCAAGGCTCAAGGAAAAAAAATACTAATAAATCTTAATAACAAATGAATCGTTATTATTTTGTACCATAACTATTCTGTTAATTCTCCTATAAAATTTGTCGTTGCTACAAATGGTAGCTATATTGGCCTGATGGACCCAAAAAAAGAGCGAATTATTGACAATTACTTCTGATAATTTTTTTTCTTTTGTAAATATTGATTCAAACAACTGTAGATTCATGAGTTTAAATTGTAAATAAAGCGTTTAATTTTCAAATATAACTCTCTCTCTCTATATATATACGCAACTGAGATTCCTTTTTGCGATTTTTTTTTTTTTTTTGCAATGGTTTTGAACCGATACTTGTAGCTCTTTTTTAGATTTCTTTTTCCTTTTTTTGTTTTGGATCTACCTATCATTGATTTGTTAATCTTTTGCAACTCATCCCCTTTTTCTTTGACCCCACGAAACTAATTAAAATACATGGATGTATGTATGTATGTTGCCGTCGGATAATTAAATGGGTTTTTTTTTCCCGTGGCTAAATTTTTTTTATCTGATATTGAAGGCATTAGTTTTTGGGTATCTTTTTGTTCTACTGTTAATATTATTCAAATTTTCTTAGCGTTATTCCAACCTCTCATTTTCGCCATGTTTAGGTGGTGAAATAACTGAAGAACAAATGAAAATAGATTCTCCAATAGAAGAGCAGCACCATGATGAAAATAGAGCACAACCAAGCTTACCATGTTTCAGCATTAAAACCATAATGGTTGCAACAAATAAATTCTCCAATGAGAACCGATTGGGGCAAGGTGGATTTGGTTCTGTGTACAAGGTAAGTTAAATATTTAAAAATGAAAATATTTCTGTGCACTCTTGTACACACAATCTAATCACCAAAAAATTTATTGAGTTGTTAATACGTCATGACCTGTTCTCAGTTTTTGCATCACATCTTGTCATTTCCAATTCGCCCTGCTGCTCATTTATTGTAAGATTTTTTTCATGATTAATTGCTTATCTGGATTGTGACTACCTTTTAATTTTCAGGGCTCATTATTTAATGGACAAGAGATAGCAGTGAAAAGATTGTCTCAAGGTTCCAGACAAGGAACTCAAGAGTTCAAGAATGAAATTAAGGTGATTGGAAGATTGCAACACAGGAATCTTGTAAAGTTGCTTGGTTATTGCATTCATAAGAAAGAAAGGATGCTGATATATGAATACCTACCCAACAAAAGCTTGGACTTCTTTCTTTTTGGTGCGTGTTCTTCTCCTTCTCTTTCTCTAGACTAATATTGCTTTCAGATATCACACTTTCAATTAACATACCTCAATAAATTAGAGAAGAGGCAAATTGCATATTACTTCATTAGATTGTCATTTCATTATATTCGGTGTCTGTCCATGATTTTTCACATATCATAAACATTGTCAATAAAGAATTTTTTTTTTTTGGGAAAAAAAACTAAGGTCGTACTACGAAACGGCTCAAAGCATTTGTGTTCAGCATGTATCAAGGATGAAAACAAGGAACAGAACTAGAGAGAAAAAAATTTGCTGCAATGTTGATTATTTTGCTTGTCTTCTTGCTGATTTTGTAATTTTTGCTCAATTTTTAAGGATTTTCCATTTGACCCATCATACAAATATGTCTCTCATTTGGTCCTATAAAATGAAATTTTCCCTGTTTAATTTGTATGTGTTTGATATATCAAGATAAGGTTTCCAACATTTTCAATGTTAAGAAGCTATTAAGGTTCATTGCAGATAGGGATAGAAGATCATCACTAGATTGGGATACACGTTTTCACATCATCATTGGAATTGCTCGAGGCATTCTCTATCTTCATCAAGATTCAAGGTTGAAAATAATCCATAGAGATCTTAAAGCTAGCAATGTCCTTTTAGACCTCGCAATGAATCCCAAAATTTCAGATTTTGGAATGGCTAGAATATTTGGAGAGGATCAAATCCAAGCAAATACAAAACGAATTGTTGGGACATAGTAAGAACAAAAGTCTTATGCATACTTTTAAATAAAATCACCAACTCAGTTCAATAACAATCTCATGTCATAACTATGTTTCTTATTGCAGTGGCTATATGTCTCCAGAATATGCAATGGAAGGACAATATTCAACAAAGTCTGATGTTTTCAGTTTTGGGATTCTGTTGATAGAGATTATTTGTGGAAAAAGAAATACAGATCACGATAAAGAAAGATCATCTGTAAATTTAATTGGACATGTAAGACTAAAGATACAAGAGGATGAAATTCAAATAATCATTGATCCGTTTCATTTCCTCTCATTTAATTTGAAAGCCCTAGAAATATTGGCTTCAAAATTTTGATGGGTATTTTTTTTCCCCAAATAATGAAATGATATTGCAATTTTTTTGGTAGGTATGGGAGATGTGGAGAGAAGAAAAATCCTTGGACATAGTGGATCCAATACTTGGTGAAGCATATCCAATTGACTTAGCCCGAAGATGTATACATATTGGGCTGTTGTGTGTGCAAGAAAATGCCTCCTATAGGCCTTCCATGTCAGAAGTAATCTACATGCTTGGCAATGAAGTGTCCCTCCCCTCACCTCGAAGACCTGCATTCCTATTCAATTCGAATGCAGAGCTTTCAGAATCTTCAACATCTAAAGATCCTTCTGTAAACGAAATTACTGGTACGACAATCAGTGCTAGATAAACATGACGTGGCATATGACAGGGAAGCATTTTATGATCCTAGGTCTTCCTATACTTATTATCCTTAATTTTGTATCAACATGTGTAGTGTACAAATGTTTACATATTAGCCACAACACTTCTGATTCCCAAAAAAGGAAATCATATTAGAATGTCAATACGCCTCCTTTATCTCCGACTATCCGTCATGGGCAGCAATCAGTAGGTTCTCGAGTTTGCCAGTGATGCCGATGGTGGCAACTAAGAAGTGTTCTGTATATTTTAAGTAAATATCCTAACTAGCTCCTACATATAGTATCAAAAAGAGTATATTCTAAGGAATCGAACTTTGAGTCCTAGTGGGTGATAAGAAAATGGGCATCACTAGTAGGTTGCGTGCTAATGGGTGATAAGGAAATTTGAGTCCTAATGTGTGAATGTGATACTACTCTCTTGTTATGGAATTGATCTTAACCATCCTAACATCAGCTAGAAGGTTTTGATCAGGCTGAATCATTTTCTGTGTTGAAGATTTTGCTAAAGCTGTGTTTGCTGTTAGTCTCTTAACTTTAGAGAACAACATATAGTGCAGCACATAAATTGGAGGGAATATTGGAAGCCTTTGGCACCACAATTTACAGCGTTGGACTCATTAAAGCAAAGCATCACCACATTTATTACATGGCATGATCTTGTAACTTCATTTTATCAATGGCTCATATTTGCTCAAACTTCGTGAACTTTAGAGGAGTTAAGTCCTCTCAAACCCAATTAACCACTAGGCTTTGCATGTTCACTTAAATTTGTAAGTTCAATTGTTTTTCTATGGAAAATCTACAAGTAAATGAAACTTGCTACGCCACGTCTTGAAAATTTAGGAGTGACTAGCCTGAAATATAAGAAGCCCATATCCCTTAAGCCTGTAATATATAAATCTCTCAATTATATATGCAGAACAAAATAGCAACTTCCTGCAGAGGTTTTGATAGTACAATTCAGTTAAAAAGAGCTCCACCCCAGATCAACAACCATCCAACACATAAATAAGGCGATGATCCAGTCTATGACCTATATGGAGCACCTAAATTACAAAAGTAAATACTCCTCCGATCCTAAATATAAGACCCTTATACACACTAGTATAAGGGTCTTATATTTAGGACCAGAAGAGTACATAAGTTTAACCTTACATTAACTATATGTTAGTTCAAAATGAGCAAGGAATCGCCCCACCAATCTGTTGGAGCAATAAGGTCACCTACACTATTTAAGGCCATAAATATTTTCTAATGATTAACATCCCTATTATAGAAATTAAATAAATATTGAAAGAAATAGATTAAACATATATGCCTCTGTATAACATAAAAACATAACAATTATTTTCAACTTCTAAAGTATACAATCATAAGCAAAAATGAAATTATATATAAGACTATTAAATGAACAAAATTAAATATATAATAAAACAACTTATCTATAAAAGTTCAATTCACGAATAATATAAAATCTCATTATTTAAAAGGACTTAAACAAAACAAAACAAAACAACAAGCTTGGACAAGCGCATGGTATATAACCAATTAAAGCATGACTTGAAGCAATGAAAACAAGCATAAGAACAATGCCCACAAATAACAAGCACAAATGACGTGCCCACAAATATCAAGCATCAATGATGCGCCTACGATTATCAAGCTAGCTATGTTTTAATCATGGCACGTCAATGACTAATAGTACTAATATTAGCAACCAGTGTTCTGTGCTTAGTTCTCAAAAAACGTTTTCAAGCATGTGTAGAATTAAATTACCACAGCGGGGAAAAATAAAAAAACTTCACATAATAAAAGCTCATGAAAGAACATTTTACAAGACTTCGGCATGAAAGCTTACAAATCATATCTCAGAATTTCCTCCAATTTCCATGCACGAGTGTTCAATATAAATAAAATGAAGAACAAATAACATTAAATAAAATTCTTATTAATTATATATTTAAATATCAATGACAAAATGATGTAATTCCAAACAAATTTGCCTTGATGAAGCATTGTTTAAGAAATTTGGTAGTTTAATTAAAAGTATAGCAAGTAGTAAAAATATCATTTGTAAAAATTATTGAGATGCTATTCACTTGCCTACTAAGCCCCCAGTACATAACTTAATGACCAACACAAAGTCATTATTATTCCATTAAAATTTTCTATGAGAGATTCATAATATCTCATCACAAGATTTTCTATGAGAGATCATAATATCTCATCACAAGATTTTAATTAATGAGTTAAGCAACCATCTAAACATAGAATCATAAACTTCTACCAACACAAACTTCTACTGCTATTTCATTTACTACCTCAAACTAATACTTTCTTACCGACACAAAATAAAATCCAATTTATATGTCCAACTCTCTTCTAACATATGCAACTAACCTCCACTCACGAATCTTAATCCATAAATGTCTAGAGTTGTGAAGAAAGGAATCCGCTTGCTATAACATGAAAATCAAATAAATTTACACACTATAATTAACCCATATAACTCTACTCACAATTAACTACTCATTTGTTTATAATTTCCTTCCAAACTTTTTAACAAACACCTTATGTGCATGCTAAATCAAGTCATAAAACAATCAATATATTATCTCATATTACTATCCAAACAACTTCAAACGTCTAGTATAGATCACAAAGTCTCCTTAATTAAATCTTTTAACAATATTTAACTTATAAATAAACAGAACCCATGTCTTCTTTCTTGCAACAATGTAAGATTTCAGCAAAATGCCCATTCAAGCAAGCTTTCTTCCCCAATACTAAAGCCAAATAAAACCCCAAATTTCAATCTTATTCCAGATGCGCAGCTGTAAGGGAAAGAAAATTACCTTAGCCCCCCACGCAAGAATCGCCGCAAACAATCAGAATTGAGAGGTTTTAAATATACAGATAAATCCAATCAACGTGACAGCAATGCAGGAGAACGGTTCGATATTACCCACACATATAACGTCTTGCGGTAGCCAGGAAGAAGGAAGAAGATGACGAACGCAGCCGCAGAAAAGAAGAGAAAGAAAACTCCAACGACCTCGGCACAGCGGCGGCGTAAGAGGCAGAAGAAGAAGATGAAGTCGCAACTGCAAAGAAGAAGGAATTCGGGCCCACGCCCTTTGATCATATTGACAAAAAACGAAATGGAAAAAAGACCGAAGCTCAGTGCACACCTATACCCGCAGAAGCGTCGATCGAATCAGAGGAAGAAGAAGACAAGCTGAAGACGCAGAACGGAACTCAGGTTCGGCCGCATACAGCAGCAACATGCAGAGGCCTCGACATGCTCACCGGCGACGGACCGACAAGGACGGCGAACGACGACTGAAGCTTCTTAACCCTGCTCTCGCTGGCACGACTGAAAAAATGGGAAAAGGCGTCTCCAGTAATGTATTAAAACCCGGGCCGATGTCAAACTGGAAAACCTAACGGGTCATGGTTCATCCGGTCAAATCGATTAGATCGGTGGTTGGACTGGTGACATAATAATTAAATAAAAATATTTATATATACATAATGATAAAAATTAAGCTTGTTTATAATTATAATTATATTATAACAAATATAACATAAGAAATGAGATGGTATGAAAAATGTTTGGCACTTCAAATATTTCAACATGTGTAAGTATATCCTATTATAAAAAGATATAATAAGATCATAAGAGTGAAAAAAGCAAAGATAGTCTGGGTAAAAAAACAAATTTGAAAAAAAAACGGTTAAAAATACATTTTTTTTGCAAGATGTCTAAGTATAACTGGAAAAAACAGAATTCACCAAAAAAAAAAAGAACGAAAAAGTGCAGAAATGCAAGAGTAAAGTCAGCGAAAACGTGGATAATATAATATATTATTTCTTTAATGACAACACGTTTTTCGAGTTCTAGAAAAGATGAACCCATTTGCCGTAGTAGTCAGTAAATGGGTTTGATACTTCTCTCTCTTCTATTGCACTGCGTTTTCTTTCTCTTCCCTTCTCTTTCTTCTTCTTCTGTCTTTCTTTCTTCTTCATCTCCGGTGACTGTCATTTTAAGCAGAACTTGGGCCGGTCGGTTATTCCAAAACAGTTCCGATTCCCGAACTAATAGCGGTTTCCGATCGAAAAGCTGGCTTATCCCGTCTCAAAACGGCTTAACATCAAAGACGGTTTTCAAGCATGGCTCAAGCCGCCCTCATCTCCGGTTGACGGTCAAACCGTCCGGTCTGGTTTTGAAGACACTGGTCTCCAATTGCCCCTCCTCCATTTTCATCCACTTCACGTCCTAATCGAAAGATTAAAATTTTAACAGATTTCATATTTATAAAATTATAAATAAAATACTAAATTTTTTAAAAAAATAAAATAAAATAACTAAATTTTATAAATAATAATAATAATAACAATAAAATTTTAGTCAGGATAATTCAAAATAATAATAAAATTATTTTTTGAAATAGTAGATGGCGACATAAAGTAGGAATCTAGCTGGTCCCACAAGGAGATTTTCTGATGATGATGTTCCCTAGTCTTTATAGATAGGCTCATGGCTAAGGGATATGTTCATGATGCCTTCTGGGTTAGGGTCATCTGAGTCATAGTGTCTCCTTGTGCAGTAGTAGTCTTTGAGCTCTGGATTAGGGTCATCTTGGTTAGGATCCTGGGATTTTCCTGCAAGGAATGGGGAGTTGTGGCTGGAAACTTGGCTGAGGGAGATAGAGTCCTTTAGGCTGAGTGAGTTGAATTTGTGAGTCTTCATCATAAGGGTCTTCAGAGGTTTCTGTCTGTGGAGGGACCTGTGACCTATTTGTTGGAGGTCTGATAGCACTCATGATGAAATCTCTCTGGAATTCTTCAAGTGTTGTGCTGCTGGCTAATGGTGAGCTGAGCTTGGAGGGAAAGGTCCAAGAGATAGACATGAACGTGTCCTCTCCCATGTCAGGCTGGTTATGTGTGCGGTTAATGTCTTCCAAATTTTTTCCATTAATAATGCTTCCTTTCTTGGCCATGAGGGGGTGGTGACTTGAAAGATCAGATGGTTGTCTGTGTAGAGCCTCTGGTTAGCACTTATACCATAGTTCCTGAAAAGGGTATACACACAAAAAAATCTTTTGTTTGGGAGTTGGTAAGTCCCGGATATTATG